GAGGCTGTCTGCGTCAGTAAAGATTTACAGCCTCGGCAACCCAAGGAGAAGCGCTACTCTGTTCTGTGTGGTCTCTATGAGTCCGAGGCGGCCGAGTGGTGCTGAGTTTGGCTTGTTTTTTCTAGATGTCGATCTAGTCGGTGTTTTCAGTTGCTGTTTCTAGAATTGCATTTCTTTCTTCTTCTCTAGAACTTTGTTCCAACACGACTGGGCAACGGATGCTGAGAACAGCCTTTTGTTGGTCTTGGTGTAGCACAAAATAATGGTCCATCTTCCATTCGGTGGCATGAACTATAATGAAATACACTCTCTTGTACAATGATTTTCTTCAAACGCCGAAAACATTTTCGAGGCATAGTTTTCTTGCTTTGAGGCCTGAGTAATGAGAGGGAACGCCAAGGTCAGTAGTAGAATCACTTGAAGCTAGTGTCTCCAGTCCTGGCTGTGTACCATGCAGCCTACTTAGCCATAAACATTTCCCAAACACTGTAGGGAATATGTGAACTAAGAGCCGCCGGAAACGCTGGGCGTGACCCCTAAGCTGAGGCAACTCTGAACTAGTGACAGCTGAGCCAGTGTGGTCACTGCTGCCAGCCCCAGGAGCAGGGCATTCTGCTGGCCACTCTGCCAAAGTCCTGGGCTCAGCCTCTCAGAGGTGACCTGGCTCAGCTCACCACTGCCCTCACCCTGCAACCCAGTGTTCAGGGGAAGACCCCTCCCCTAGCTCCTGGGCCACAGTCGTAGAAAATGAAATCCCACCGAGAGATGCAACCAAGCAGTTGCTAATTATAAATGCTGTCTAGATTGTTCCAGGAGTCACTGTAAGTCGCTGTGGAGTAAAAGTCTATAGAGTTTTATCACTGGGAAATCACCTAGAAAAGTCTGGATTGTTCAGTATGAAACATCGGTCACTTTATAGCTCTGATGATGCATTTGTCATTAAAAGCTGATAGCTCTTCATCTACTTGCTCTTTGAACTGTATGCAATGTCCTGTAAACCGTTCTTCCCAGGTCAGACAGGGATGGGCCATAGTGTAGCAGCTCAGGCATGGAATCCACATAACTGATACTGCGACACTCCCCTGGCACAGCATGTGAGCAGTAGGGACTGGAGAGGCCGCACAGAGGGGAACAGAGCCTTCCAGAGACCCCCGAGTACTTCAAATGGATCTCCCCTCAGCTGGGTCCAGGAATGTAAGCCTTACCTCTCACTCCGCTGCATTTGCAACTGAACATGAAATGGGATTTTGTGTGTTTGTTTCTGTTTTGCTTTTAAATCAGAGTGGTTTTCTTCAGCGATTGTCGTTACCTCAAAAACTTAATAGCATGTAGCCAGTCAATTTTCAGCTCTAAACACTGAGTTGTGAATCAGTGGTTTGGACAATAATGAAAATCCCTTTGATGTTACTTATTATTTGCCATGTACTAAAGGGAGAGCAGATTGGAACGCACTGTTTTGGCTTTTACCTACAAATACCGGATATTCATAACCTCAAGGACATAACTTTTCATGTGTTAGGGTTGGTTTTTACTCAATTTATGAGCCAGCATCCAAGGAAATTTCAAAACCTGTTACTGAATTCAGTATGTGATCCTCAATGTTTATTACGTTTCTTAACTTACTTAGTTTCTTATCCTAAGCTAAATGTTCGATTGCCCAAAACCACTTTTTCTTCAGTCCGGGGTTGTCGAAATGTGGCTGAAAGGCAGTCTGAGGTCCGAGTCAGAACTGAGCAGCCCCGTTCTGGCTCCTTATTAGTTTAGTAAGAAATAGGGTCTAATATTTACAGGCAGCAGAATTGGGCACGGTGGTTCTCAAATTGCCAAGGATAAAAGCAGAACAATGTTTAGCTGGTGACCTGCAGAACCTACAAGTCCATTTGTGTGTGTTTGATTGTGACTGTATCGGGTTATTCCTCTCTGTCCTGTAGGGTCACTGTGAGTAGGAATGGACTTGGCCACAGTGGGGGTGATGCTGGTGAACCTCCTTGAAGCTTGGCGCCTGCAGGCTGGTCCTCAGTCCTACAGGGTCGCTGTGTGTAGGCTTGAGCTTTTGGTACATATGTGCCCCTCCCCCATGTTGCTGTCTGATGGCCCTTGTATGTCATCCCTGTTACCCACACTTGTCACGGTGATGGATCCTATAAGTGTGTCGTATCTCTTCTCTCTGTGTGATCTTGGACAAATGTACTGACCCTCTTGAATTGCAGGCGGTCTCCTGTGTGGAATGTCTGTACCAGTCCCTTACGGTGTCAGGGGCAAAAGTCAGTGAATACAGTGACCATGCTGCTCAGCACAGAACAGAAACTCAGTCACTGACAACTGTTTGGGCTTGTTGTTAAAGCCATCAAGTTGTTTCCAACTCACATTGTTGTTATTAAGTGCCTTCAGGTCAGTTCCAACTCATAGCGACTCTGTATAGGGTTTCTGAGGAGCAGCAGGTGAATTTGAACCTCCGACCTTGCAGTTCAAACTGACCTTGTGGTCCACCGCATTATCCCACAGTGCCACACCAGGACTCTGACTCATGGGAACCCTGTATAGAGTTTCCAAGGAGCATCTGGTGGGTTTGAACCACCAACCTTGCGGTTAGCAGTCCAGTGCTTATTCTACGGCACCACACCAGGACTCCCTCTTTCTCATGGCACTCTGCCTTGTCTTCCCTTAAGTTCTTACAGAGAACGCTTTAACTCTGTCCCCCACCTCTCCTCTCCCTGTTTCGAATTGTCCTTGTTCCTCTCCCTCTGGCCTTCTGAGAGGGCGTGAGGACCTCACACCATGTCCCATGTGAGGCCGTGTAGTCGTGTGCTGCTGCTGCTGTAACAGATGATCATACACTTAGTGGCTTCTATCAGCAGAAATGCCTTAGCCAACAGGGCTGGAGATCAGAAGTCCACCAGGGGCCTGGCGTGCGTCCCAGCAGCAGGCTGAGCTGTGAGGACTCCTCCCAACTGAGATGTACACACCAGAGCGCAGCAGGTTTACTACAGAAAAACAGAAAGTAAAATATCTCAGGAGTCATTTTCATGTTAGGCTAAAATGGAGGGTCGGTGTAAAAGAGGAAGCCCTCCAGCGAGATGGGTGGACACAGTAGCTGTACCAATGCTCTCAAACACCACAGTGAGGAGGATGGCGTAGTTTCGTTTGGTTGTGCACAGGGCTGTCATGAGTCAGAACAAACTCAGCACTATAGCAACAACAGAAGCTCTGAAGCAAGTTACGGTTGCATTGATGTTATGGGGCAGCACTCTCCAAATGCAGTGGTGGCCCATTTGTGCCTCGGTGGGGGGGTTGGACCTGTGGTCACTTGTCTATATTCAGTCACCGGGCCCATAGCCCAGGCCTGGAAGGAGCCACAGTTTCTGTTGGCAGTTGAAAGGCAAGTGTGCCATTGAGGCTGCTTCCCTGCATTTGTCACATCTGAAGCTAAACGTTCAGGTTCATACTGTCCGAGGGAGGCCCTTGGAGCAGAGAAATCGCTGGGTGCCCAGGCTGCTAGGAGCCGTGGCTGCACGTGCGCTGGGCCCGGTTGGCCTGGCTCCACTGCGCAGGCTTGTTGACCTCTCTGGTACTCTTGCTGCTGCTCACCTTAGCAGCCTGCTGCTGAGAACACGGTGACACCTCATTAACGAGTTGCCTTCATACAAAGTCAGCCTTTTTGGAAGACAAACAGCAAACACACTCCAGCCATCACTTTGTGTTTCCAGCCTAGAACAAAGTAGCTCCCTGTAACCACCCTGCTGATTTGTCCTTGTTAGAGTGTGGGGCGGAAAGGAAGCGGGCCACCCAAAGAGAGTCCAGGAGTCTTCATGCACCCCCTCCTCTCCCCCCACAGGACTCCCTGGCAGGTAACCCAGGTCAGGCCACCCGGAACCCCGCAACACCCACACACAGTGACCTCGCCCATGTTTATCCCTCCTGCCTCCTTACCTGTGCCAACGAAGAATTCGAGGGGTTTATCCCTGGTGCTCCGCGAACCCTGACTGAGGAAATCAGCAGCTTCCCTCCGCCATTCCTCACCCTTTCTATTCTCTTCTCCTTCGGAGTGTTTTATTTTATCCCTGATCCCTCCTCAAAGTACAGCGGGCCCAGTAAGATGAGTTTTAGTTTCCTATGCATAGTGGTTACGAATCGGGCTGCGAACCTTAAGGCCAGCAGTTCGAAACTACCAGCTGCTCCGCGGGAGAAAGATGAGGCGTTCTGCTCCCGTAAAGATTTACAGCCTCGGAAACCCTGTACAGGGTTGCTGTGGGTCGGAACCAATTCCACGGCACTTAGCAACAACAACAACAATTGTTGCTGTAACAATTTACCAGGGACTTTGTGGCTTATAACAACAGGAATGTACGTGTTAACTGACAAGGCTGAGATCAGAAGTCCTCAAGGGGCTTTATGGGCATGGGGGGTGCGGGGTTGGGAGGTGGATTAGAGGTGGCCTGGGCAGAGACAAGTAGACTGAGAATCGAGAGCTTTGACCTTCTCCTCCTTTTATAAAAGTCCTGCTTGTCCGCTCAGCTCACATGCCACCTTCACCGTGAACCTGTGCCTCGTTTTCTTGATCAAAGACTAACTTTCTTCTAATAGTCTCTCTTAATGTTGGGTTTATTTTTCTGAAATAATGCCGTTACTTTATTCCTATATTATGGTTAAATTGATAGGTATGTGTCTTCATCAAACCAAGTCCCTTTCAGATGGGTGCATGTTTCAGATTCACCTCTGCAATTGTACGAAACATAGATGCTTGGGCCTTGTCCCATTTTCTTTCATCGGACATGGTACATAGATCTTACCCGGTATTCTAGTTCCATTCATTAAGTGATGGAGCGGCAGTCGGCGTTGTTTATGTTATAGGAATGAGGGGATGCTGGCAGAACCAGGATTGCTTTATGTAATGATTATCGGCATTGAATTAAAACTTGTTTTGAGGAAGCCTTACCTTAACCAGTCTTCCCTTCTCTCTCCTTTTCCTATGGCTGTTTCCTGATCCCTCCTTGCTCCAGGATTTGCGCAAGCAGGTAGCGCCACTGCTGAAGAGCTTCCAAGGGGAGGTAAGCTTTTATATTGCACTTATGACCTGAGGGCCCACCCCCCATCATAGTTAGTGGGTCTTTCTTTTCGTTCACATTAAATAAAGACTGTTGGCCAAGGTATTTAGCCCAGTGGAACCCTGCCAGCTGCACCTCCAGGACCAGGCAGATAGTGTGTTTTACAATGTTAGCTTCACAGATCTTCAATCAAAGAACTTATGGAGGAAGACGCCCTACTTCAAATGCAAGAAGACGTTGTAGTGGATTCAGTGGAGAAGCACGCAGTGTGGTTGGCTTTCCCATGGAGGAGTGGACAGACCTTGGTCCCTGACTTAGTGAACTGCTGCTGCCGTGAGGCCGGAGTGAGGAATGGGGACCATCTGGTGTTTTTATAAGAGAGGCTGTAGGAGGGAAAAGGAAGTTTTCTTGGCCCAAGACTTGGCCTAAAGGGCAATAGGTAGAAGCCACAGGAGTGAGTTTGGATTTAGTATAAGGAAGAGTTTTCCTCTGGACACTACCAGAGAAGGACTGAGCTCTTCTCTATCAAGATGGGGCTGGTAAGGCAGCAGCAAGTCATCTGAGACGTCCACCACTGGCTACCTACCCGTGAAAATAGTGCCCGCAGAAGGACTGGGGGGCTGAAGTGGGGGGACATCAGGCTCCTTCTCAACCCTCTGTATAGAGATGCAGTGAATGTTAGGACACCAGAACTGTTGTTGGTAAGGAGTTACTGCCTCCCACATTTAGCTTCTCCCATTAGAATATGAAAGTAAGAAAAAATATCAGGAATGGTTTTTAGAAGCCCTTTTGAAGAATTACTTTTTTTTTTTTTTGCAATGACTCAATTCAGAGGAATCACAGAGAACATGGGGAGCGAACAGGCTTGTGGGGAAGTGATGAGGTGGTCGGTTCAGTTTGACAGGCCAGTGACGTGAGGTGGGGATGCCTTATAGCCACACTGCCTGGGATAAGAGGTCGTGGTTCCTATTTGGCACATTCTTGGGCACACAGGTGATAGCAGAGGATGAGGGATCTAATGAGGGGAGTTGTGAAGAGCATATTCAAGGGACCCATGCAGCACACACACACAGCACTGACTGTGGTTGCTAAAGATCAGCCAGTTAGCAGCAATCCCATTCTGAGTGCTGGCGCCCCTCGTGTCTCAGAGGAGAACTCTGTTCCACAGAAGTCTGGCCTGCCGTCATCTGAGGTGCCTCTGGGCAGATGGAAACTTTGGGTTAGTAGTCTAGTGCCTAACCCTTTATGCCACCCAGGGAGTCCCTGAAGATCATAGAGGGTAAAATACAAAGCCAAACCCATTGCTGTCCAGTGGGTTCTGACCATGATGACCCCATGGAGCCGTGGAGAACTGCCCCATGGGGCTTCCAAAGGTGTCAGCTTTTCAGAAGCCAAGTGGCATGTCTTTCTCCCTCGGAGTGGCTGGTGGGTTCAAACTACAAACTGTCGGTTAGAGACTCTGTGTTTAAACACAGGGCACTGTGCCTTTTTGTTGTTGTTGTTTTTGTTTTGAGCGCCATCAAGTCGGTTCCAACCCATAGCGACACTGTGTAGGGGTTTCTGAGGAGCAGCTGGTGAGCTTGAACTGCTTACCTTGGGGTTCAAATGACTTTGCAGTCCAGCTCCTTAGCTCCCACAGCACCACCCCAGTGTCTTTTTATATCCTGCTTATTTATAAATAGTGCCTTTTTATGTCCTAATATCCTGCTTGGATACAGCCTAATATCCCTTATATTCTCGGCCTGGTAAAGCCTAGAGTTTTTGACACCAGGTCTGTGAAGGACTTGTCCAGTCTTTTCCTCAATTATATCTCTGAGCCCTCATTTTGTAAGTCAAATTGTTACTTCATATCTACCCACATTTAATCGTGTCTGGTCGTTTACCTTTTGAGCAGTCTTGTAAGACCTTTGGCTTAGAATTTCCTTGGCAGAAATAGTACAAAGCTTTTTTTTTTTTTTTTTTATGTGCTTGTTTTTGTTGATTTTTCCTTGAAAGATTTCAAACATGCTTGAAAAGTAGAAAGATAAGTGCGGTGAGGTGAGCCCTTGTTAATGCTCTGCACATTGTTGTCTTGCTCTTTTGCTGACCATTTGTAAGTGAACCTGCAGACCCACTGGCACTGTTCCTTAACTGAACACACACTTCTTCCAAGCATAAGGACATCTCTGGACAGCATTATGATAACCTGAGAAAGCCAGCAGCCATTCCACCATGTCCAGTGCGGTTGATAAATGCCGTCAAGTCGGTTCTCATTCAGAACAACGCTGTATAGAGTCCTGGGGTGGCGCTGTGGGTTAATGCGCTGGACTGCAAAGTCCATAGGGTTTCTGAGGCTCTAAATTTTGGGAGAAGAAAACCTCATCTTTCTCGCACAGTGGGCTTAACCCAGACCTTCAGTAGTCCAGTGTCTATCTCACAGATCCACTGCACTCCCACGATGTCCAATTGTTGTTGTTAAGTGCCAACCAGTCAGTTCCAACTCGGAGCTATCCTGTATAAGATTTCCAAGGAGCAGCTGGTAGGTTTGAACTACTGACCTTGTGGTTTGCAATCCAGTGCTGATCCTACAGTTGTTGTTGTTAAATGCCATGGAGTTGTTTCCAACCCATAGAGACGTTCTATAGGGTTTCCAAGGAGCCAGCTGGTGAGCTTGAACCACCAACCTTGAGGTTCAAACCGACCTTGCATTCCAGCTCATTATCCCACAGTGCCACACCAGGAACCTTCAGCAGTCTGTCCCAAATCAAGTTTCCCCAATTATCCATCAAATGTCTTTTATAACGGTCCTGTTCCCTATGCAACCTCCAACCCCAGCTGAGATTCAGATTCAGTCAGGTTCAAGAAGGACACGGAGTTCTGGTCATTCTCTGCATGTCACCTTTGTGCTTAATTCTTATGACACTAGCTCTTTGAAGAATCTAGGTCCATTGTCTGTTGTTGTTGAGAAATAACAGCAAACTCTTCACCAATTCAACAGTTTCTGCATGTGTCATTTGGTGACGTTGGTTCCAGTCTTCTAGCTGTGTAGCTGTTCTCGTCTTCCTTTTCTGAGTTCTCCTCCTCTTTAACGTCTGCTCACTGCTCCCTTAAGACCTGACCGGATCTTCAAGTTGCTCTTCTCAATGTGAATCCCATATGTTGTTGTTAGGTGCCATTGAGTCGGTACCGACTCATAGCAACCTTATGCACAGCAGAACGAAACACTACCCAATCCGGGGCCA